TCTCAGGCCCTGGTCGTGGGCTCCAATGACGCCAGCCTTGCCTTGGGGATGCAAGAAGAGAGACCTGGTCCCTGAGGTGGACTGGGAGACCGGAGATGAGGCGGGCGGTATCGATCCAGGCTGCCCACGCGTTATCGGATTGTTCCTGGCTCCTGGGCCCCCCTTCACCCTGAGCTCCTCCCAGAATTCTCTCTTCTCTGCCCTCCTCCACCCCTGCCCCACTCTGAGCCCAGCATGGGAGGCTGGAGAAGAGAGGAGAAAAAGGTGATTTTAGAGCTTTTGTTATCCGGGCTCCTGAGCTGAGTGGGCACAGAATTAGACAGCAGGGGGGACTTCCTGGCCTAAAAGATGGAACCCACATGGTGGGGGGGAGTAGTGACTCAAAGACCCTCACATTGCTGCCCCTTCCCAAAGCTTCCTGCTATTTCCTACCAGCTGCAACTCCAGTTGTTCTGAGTTAATTCTCACCCCCTCTGCAGAGCTCAGGAGGCTGAGGACATGGGCCCTCCTCTTTTCTCCTCATCCTCCTCCTCATTGGTGAGCTGGGCCCTCTTGTCTCTTCAGTGTACCTCGGGGAGCAATCTGAGGAGGCGAACCTGGGGATGCCGCACAGCTTAGAAGAGCAAATACTCAGCTCCACATTCGAAGCTTGTGACCCTCAGAGGACAGGTGGGGGGGGCAGGGTGAGGTTCTGGGGAGCAGTAGAGATGGAAGGGGCTGGGGGGCTGGGAACTGGGGATCCTCAGAGAGAGGATCGGGCTAGGGACCCTTCCTGGGGGTCCTGCAGGAACAAAGTGGGTGATTGTGAGAAGCTCCAGGACGAGAGTGAATAAGGGGACAAGGAAAACTTGGGGGCATTGATGAAAGATGGCAGAACTTTAGGGGTGTGGGAGGGGGAGAGGAGGTAGCCACGGTGGTGGGGCATGGCTGCTGCTGTCCCTCATCTCTGTCCTCTTGGTTAACCCTGTGAGGTGGGGATGACTGTGTTCCATTCCCAAGTGAAAAATTGACTTAGAAGAGGGGGAAGGACTTGCCCAAGGGTCTCCACCAGGCCATGGGACAGGAGTGCCACCAACCTAGCCAGTGACATCCTGTTCCTAAGCCACTGCCTGTCCACAACCCCTACCCCTACCTGCCCCAGACTCTCTTATGGTGTGCTCTGTCCCAGGTACTGTGACTGTGACCCATGTGCTGGCCTATCTGGAGGCTGTGACAGGCCAGGACCCCCAGGATCCACGCCTCCAAACATTGGCCCACAGCCTGGACCCCAGTGGGGAGGGTCCTCAGGCCACCGTGGACTTGGATACCTTCCTGGTTGTCATGCGGGACTGGATTGCTGCCTGTCAGCTGCATGGGTGAGTCCCAATACCTTCATCCTCCCCTGGAAGTCCTTCCTAAGATCTAACCTCATACCTGCTTACTGCAGCCAGCACCTTTTAGTCCCAGGGACCAGGGACCTACTGATTAGAACGAGACTGAGGAGGAGAGAAAAATGAAGAGATGGAATTGGGAGTGAGTGGATAGGGAGTCTGAGGACAAAATGCCTTGGGTAAGGTGGCAGAGGAGGGTATGGGAGGCAGAAATAAAATGAGGCTAGAGAAGAGGTGAGTTTGGGGGCTGACGGAGGCCCCTTCACAGAACCCAGCCCTTGCCTCTCCTGCTTTTCCATCTGGCCCTGTGGCACTCGCCATCTGGCCTTTCCTTCCTCCCCCGTGTTGTTCGGTGTTCGCTCTCACCTGACCTGGTCCCCTCCTCCCACCCACAATCCCCCTGTTTGTGGCTGGTCAGGACTGAAGGGTGGCTGCAGGGGGCCTCTAAGCCTCATCCCTTTGATTTAGGAGATTAGAGCTGGAAGAGGAGACCGCCTTCCAGGGAGCCCTGACCTCCCAGCAACTGCCATCTGGTGAGATTGCTATATATAGAATGAAGCAGGCGGGCCCAGGGTCAGACAGTGCGGGGGACTTCCCACCCCGGGGCAGAGCAAGGGATAGGGTGGGATCCAGGGACCTTTACTGTAGCCTGCAGCTATGATTTTGGCTTTCTGGGTCCCCATGCTACCCCTCCTCCCCAGCCTGTCCTTCCCTGAGCTTTGGGTTTTTTTCCCTCAGGAGATTGTTTTCACCTCCTTAACTCTCTTCCTCACATCAGCTCTATTAGAGAGGCCTATAATGCCCCACCCTCCTCTGTGTCGTCGTCATCATCATCATCATTGTCACTATCATCATCAAGCCACCTTCTCCTCACTCTGGTTCAGGCATTCACAGGCCCCTGGCTTTGCCGCCCCTGAATGTGCCCCATGCTTGCCCACCACGGGCCTTTGCTCAGGCTGTTTTCCCTGACCTAGACTCTACATCTGTCTTTATCCTTCATACCTCAGGCACAGGGGATACCCTGGGATGCCCGAGGTGAGGCATCCTTACTCTCATGCTCACTCACAGACCTGCATGCTTGCCTTTGAAGCACCTAGCTATTAGCTGGTTAGCCTCCTGCCCTGGGGTTTGGTCAGTTCGTTTGCTCACTTTGTTATCCCCAGGACCTCACACATAGGAGGTGCTCCATTAAAAAAAAAAGTGATCATGTTATGTTTCCAGCCTTGCAAAAACAAAATATGCAGCTTTCTTGACATTCTTTTGAATCTTTTCCATCAGGGGGCCAGGGGAGGGCTGTGAGCAGAGGAGGGACAGGCCAGTTCTGAGATGTGAAGTCAGGAGGCCAGGGAGGGAAGTGGTGGTGGTGAGGGTCCAGAAGGAGAGGGTGAGGCCTGAGTCAGGGTGTGGGCATGGAGACAGAGAGGAGGGAGGCAAGAGAAAGTCAGGTAGGGGGACAGGTCTGCATTCTGCTCGGCTTAGAGTGAGGTCAGCCCAGAGGATGGGTGGTGGGGGAACTGGGAAAAGTTGAGGTGCTGCCCAGTGTTGAGTGTGAAGAACGTGAAGTGGGGTGGTTGGAGTTATCTGGAAGATCCAGCATGAGCTCAAGCTAGAGAAAGTAGAGGCCTTTACAGTAGGCATAATTGCAGCCCTGGGAGCCCAAGAGAGCACCCTGAGCGAAGGTGAAAGTGGAAGCCAGATGAGTACCAAGCCCTATAACCCCGGGGCACCTCGGCATTTAAGGATGCTAGCCCAAAACCCTCCTGTCTGTCTTCCTCCAGGATGCCCAGAAGCTGAGGAACCAGCCAACCTGGAGAGCTTCGGAGGCGAAGACCCCAGACCTGAGCTGTACCTATCCTCAGACCCCTCCCTGCCCCTTCCACCCCAGTTCTGTGACCTCTAGCCTGACAAGGCCTGGGTAGGGCTTAGGGTCCTTCAGGGAAGTGGGTGAGGGACTGAGGCTAACAGCTAAGGAAGAACAGAGCTTTCCCAAGAAAAGCCAGATCTCCCCACCACCAGCATCTGCCCCAACTTGCATTAAAGAGGCAGGGACTGTGGAGAATGACCACAGTGTCCCTCCTGACCTCAGACCTGCCACAGCTGACCTGCTGAGCAGCCTGGAGGACCTGGAGCTCAGCAACCGACGTCTGGCTGTGGAGAATGCCAAGCTCCAGCGGAGTGTGGAGACGGCTGAGGAAGGGTCAGCACGCCTTGGAGAGGAGATCTTGACCCTGCGCAGGCAACTTCGCAGGTGGGCTGGGTCTGCACTCATCCTCCCCAGCGCCCCGCCTCCTTCCCTGCAGCCCCCTGCCTCTCTCTCTTCCACTGGCTCTCTGCATCTCCTGCTCTGTGTCTTTGATTCTGCACCTGTCCCTTTCATTTTTTCCCCCCTTTCTGTCTTATTGTTCTCTTGTGTCTCTCTGGTTCTTGTCTCTCAGCCTCTGTTTTGGTCTGCTTCTCTTTCCCTCTAGGTTTCAAACTTCTCTCTATTCTTCTGCATCTCTCTGATTCTCCGCATCATCGGCTTTCTCATTTCTCTGTGCTTTGTTGTTCTTCATGTCCATTGTGCCCCTCTGGTTTAGTCTCCCACTCTTTCTAGGTTTCTCTCCCACCTCCTCAGTCTTTTAAGTTGAAATTGGGTCTCTGTACCCACACTAGGTCTCTTTCCCACTTTTTCTCCCTGGGCCTCTGTCCTCCATCTCTCTGGGTCTCTGACCCTGCCCCCACCCAGGGTTTCCTCTGTTGCTACTATCTCTCTGAGTGGATCTATCTCAGTGGATTTACCTATATCTGTGTCTCTGCCTTCCTCTGCCTCCTGTGGCTCATCTGCCCACATGCCATTCAGCACCCAGCAGGCGCTACAGTTTGCCAAGGCTGTGGACGAGGAGCTGGAGGACCTGAAGTCTCTGGCCAAAAGCCTGGAGGAACAGAACCGCAGCCTTCTGGCCCAGGCCCGGCAGACGGTGGGTCTGGGCAGAGAAATGAAGGCGCCCTCTCTTCCTTCTTTCCTGAAGTCAGAGCCGCAGAGCCTGGCTATGGAGTGGGAGGGGGCAGAAATCACCTGGCTTCCTCCCTTTCTCTAAGCCCTGCTCACCCTAGACTTTTTTAGGCCTACCTGTCATCCCTCTTGACAAAGGGGACAGCAGGAGTCATCAGGGCTCCCTAGACCCATTCCCTGCTCTCCTATGATCCAGGCCCTGGTTGTGTCCCCAGGGATGAGAGAAGGGCAACATGGGGGCTCGGAGGCTGGAAATGAAGCCTTTGTACTCTCTCTGGGTTGGTCAGGAAAAGGAGCAGCAGCATCTGGTGTCTGAGATGGAGACTCTGCAGGAGGAGGTGAGCTGAGGCCCAGTTTCCCCAGTTCTGAAGTCTTCCTGGCCCTACCCCCTACTACCTCCAGCAACTTGCCACCAGACAGCCTTCAGCCTGCTTGGGGAGACCCTCAGAATGTCAATAATGTGGGAATGTCACATCACACAGTATGAGAACTGTCATGGTTGACAAGAGTGTGGGGCATGGTACAGCCTAATTGGGTTCATACTGAGGCCACCTATGTAAGCATGGACCAGTCTTTCCCTTCTCTGCACCTCAGCATCCTCACCTATAAAGGTGAGCAGAACAATGGCATCTGGTTCATTGGGTTGTATGATATTTCAACCAGAGGTTACTTGTAAAGTCGTGGGCACAAGGTAGGTCAAATAGGATGTGCTCATTAGTTAGTTAGCATTGTTTATATATTAGTATTTTTTTTTTTTTGAGTTGGAGTCTCACTTTGTCACCCAGGCTGGAGTGCAGTGGCTGCTCCCGGCCACTGCAGCCTCGACTTGCTGG